CAGGCGCGCCCGGCCCGTGGCGCGGTGAGCCTGCAGCGGCCCTTCCTGCGCGGCCCGCTGGGCGTGCTGCGGGTCCTGCAGCTGCTGGCCGGCGCCTCCTTCTGGATCACCATCGCCACCAGCAAGTACCAGGGCCCGGTGCACTTCGCGCTCTTCGTGTCCGTGCTTTTCTGGCTGCTGACCCTGGGCCTCTACTTCCTCACGCTGCTGGGCAAGCACGAGCTGGTACCCGTGCTGGGCTCGCGCTGGCTCGTGGTCAATGTGGCGCACGACCTGCTGGCGGCCGCGCTGTACGGCGCCGCGACGGGCATCATGATAGACCAGACGCAGCGCCACAGCTACTGCAACCTCAAGGATTACCCGCTGCCCTGCGCCTACCACGCCTTCCTGGCGGCCGCCGTCTGCGGGGGCCTGTGCCTCGGCCTCTACCTGCTCTCGGCCTTCTACGGCTGCTGCCGTCGCTACCAGGGCAAGCAGGAGGTGGCGTGAGGCCGCCCGTGCGCACCGCGGCCGGATCGGCGACTGGGACCCTCCCGGGTCCTTCCTGCCGCCCCGCGCCGGCGTGCCGTGCCCTGCCCTCCGCCCGTGTCCTACGTTTCCACCGCCGCCAGCGCCCGGGACCCCAGACTGGCCGTCCCCGCAGACCGCAGCGCCGCAGCCCCGAGTCCGCACCGCCGCGTGCCAGGCACTGTCTCCCGGGACAGCGCAGAGACCGGAGTGGCGACGCATAAGCGCAGACGGGCTCCCCCCACCCCCCAGCAAAACTTAACGGTTCCTCTTCTTCCCTGCTGAGAGCAAGACGTGGACAGGCGCCGCGTAGATCCGGGGAGGCTCCAAAGTTGGAACCAGTAGCAGGGCTGCGCCACTGCCCTCCTCCCTCCCGTCCCGCGGTCGGAAGAGCATCCCTTCGCCGGCCCCTTTTCGGCTTCGGGTGCTGTAAAGGGCGGGCAGGCAGCTGCGGGGAGAGCTGAGGGCAGGCCTCAGCTCGTCCTGGGATGGGTGACGAGTTCGGGATTAGTTTGGGATTGTGTGGGGATCCTTCATAACATCGCCCTGCCCATCCCTCGGTGCTTTGAAGTCTTGGGGTGGGGCGAGTCTTCAGAGGTGGGGATGGATAGGAAACGCCCATGGGCTGCAGCCTTCTATCTTTGGAGTCTTCTCTCGTCTCCTCCTCGGCCTCTGGCCTTGCGCTTCTTACAAGCCAGTCCTAATGACACTAACTTCCCTGGCCTCGCAGTAACTTTAGTCTTTTCCCAGACTTCTACTCCACCCCAGTCCTCAACATATTTGAAGTAGGGATCCCCTCACGGAATGTTAGGTGAGGCCCATACTTTTTTTTTTTTTTTTTTTTTAACAGATAGGGACCCACTTCTTGGGAACAGTCAATTTAAGATGAGAACCTTGGTTTCCGCAGCATCGCTGTTTGCAGGAAAGCAGTGGGTGTTCCAGGGAGCCTGGTCCAGAGCTATTTCTACCTAAAGACACTGGAAACCCAGTGGGTGTGTCAGTGTACTGTCTCCCCTTCTTGGAAAGTGGTGATGTTCATTAGCATAGCGAGGACGCTAAGATCCTGGGTGCGGAAGTCCAAGCACAGTAATTTAGTTCACTGTGTTAATGCTTCTGGGCCCTGATCAGTGTTTCCCACCTCAAGGTTCCAGGCATCTCTTTGCTGTCCCAATTCCTGTTTGTTCCTGCAGTCTGGTCTGTCTAAGATTTTGGAAACTTCTTTGCAAGGGAATTTTTCTAACAGGGAGACCCAGCCCGGTGAGGAAGGAACTTGCTGCCTCTTGCCAGCCAGAGACCTGGGAACTGGTGAAGTCAAGCATTTCTTTACACTGTTGGAGAAATGAAGCCAAGGTTATCCAGATGGCTTCCCAGTTGAAAGGCTTGTCACCTGTGAGAGATCCTGGCACTGACTGTGAGCCACTGGCAGGGTGTACCCTGCTCACCACAGAGAAGACAAATCTCTGGAGCCAGGGTGAACAGCCAGTCTGCCTCCAAGGTAAGATATTTTCATGTTTTTGGAAGTGGTTGTGGGTCTTTAGATAAAAAACACAGCGCCTCCTTTTAAAAAAGTTAAAAAAGTTTCATTCAGAGCAAGTTGGAGGTGTGACTACCCACAATGTCCATAGAGTTGTGAAAATTCATCCTTTTTGCTAAATCTTTCAGAGGTCGGTTTCCTCTTTGAGAAAGCTCAACCTTCTCGGGATTAGAAACCATAACAGGGGAGACTCCTTACAAGGACTGAACCCAGAGCCTCCGTACTAGGCAAGTGCTCTCCCACTGAGCTATGACCCTAACCCCTGGGGCTTGTTTTTAAAACTTAGGTGTGAAGCGTTGAGTTTTCCTGCTCTGGTTATGAAGTTGGTCTTTGGGATGCGAGTGCAGAGCAGGTCTGTAATTTTCGCATGGCGCTTAGCGTAGCCCTCCTGTGTGTTTGGAACTGCTGAGTACTTTACATTCCCTGTGTATTCTCTCAATAATAGTATTGTGATGGATTCTAGTATTTTTCTCATTTTCTATATGAGGAAGATGAGCCCCAGAGAGCTTAAATAACGTTGTCCAAGATTTCATGGCTAATGAGTGGTGGACCTCAGATTTGAACCCTGACAGTCTGGCCTGTTTAGCACCAGGCTATACTATATATGGTAGGAAGTCGGACATGTTTGATATTGCTAATGTAGTTATTTGGACATTTTTTCCTGAGGCTGAGGGTGTGGCTCAGTGGGACAGGATGTACTTAAGCACTCTGGGATTAATTCCTGCGCAAAATTTTTTTTCTAAATTGGGATAAAATATATGTAACATAAAATTTATTATGTTAACCAGTTGTAGCTACACAGTTCAGTGGCATTACGTACATTCACATTGTTATGCAACTATCACCATCATCCATTTCCTGAGTTTTTTTATAATCTTGTAAAACTGAAACTCTACTCATTATTTTTGTTTCTTTTTATCTCCTCTGGCAAAACTCAGGACCCTGAGCCTCACACTCACAAGTCCTTTAAATGTCTTGGTAGGCTGGGCCCCGCTATTGCACTCTAGGAAGAGTAACTGTTCCCTCACGTCTGAGCAGAGATGGTCTCAGCCAGAGCCTGGGGCAGACCTTGCTGGGACATTAGGGTGCCTTGGAAGCCCAGTGATTTTCATTCTTCTCTTGCAGGCTTCCGTGTTGCTGAGGCCATGGAGATTTCCAGAGCTGGTCAAGCTGGCCTCTCCCAGGGCCCACTGTCCTGGCTGGCAATACCGTTCTGGCCTGGGCCAGCAGAAAGTTTCAGTGACTTTACTGGCAGTTGGGGCAAGTGGGAGAGGCAATGACCTCTGCCTAGCGGCCTCCTTCTACACTGTTCAATGGAAGATTAATTTAGCTTCAACCCAAGAGAATTCCTGATTCCTTTGATGCTGTGATTTGGGCACAAGATTCCAGACACCTAGAATGGAGCCTTGTACTCCTGTACGCTTAACAGTGGGGTTTATAGTCAGCCTTTTTTCTTTTGCTTTTTTAAGGTCACCATCTAAATTGCATCCTTAGCTCAAGACCAACCCGCCCCCCTCAGATCTCTTTCTTGGTCCCACAGCCCCAGGTCTGTGGCCAGGTGACCTTACTCAGGAGCAGATATATTGATACTCATGGTGCCTTAATCCACCAGACTGGCCTATAGCATTCCGGAGCTCACTGGCTCTTCCAGATGTGCCTTCCTGCTTGGTTTCCAGCGGCTTGGCGGTCCCTCTGCCAGATGTGAGAAGGATGGATAAGATTGTGGCCATACCAGCCCTCCCTCTCAAGGGCCTGTGCCATAGCTATGGCCACCTGGTTCAGCCCAGAACTTTTGGCTCCTTCCTTGACACCAGGAGTCAGGTCACCCCAAGGTCCTGGCCCAAATGTTGGAGACCATTTGTGTATCCAGGAGACAGCTCTGACCGTGTTCTGTAAAGGTCGAGCGAGCCTCCTTGGGAGGAGTGTGGGTAGCAAGGGAGAGAGGACTGATGCACCTTATTCAGTAGTTCCATAGTGAGTGGTTCCATTATGCTTTTCTGAATAAAATGTGTTTTGTCTGATTTCGGGGTTTGTGTCTTCTGTCCTGGTCCTCCAAAGTAACCTCTGTGCTGAGTGTCCCCCCAGGGCCCCCCCATGTCCTCATGCCACACTGCCCTGCAGCCCCCACTGTCGTCTTCCCTTTTCCTTCTGAGAGAAGGGAAAATGAATTCACAGATTTCCACTGTGCTTAGGAGCAGGGCACAGGGGTTGTCTGAGGTCAGGAACCAGAGGGAAGAAAACTCTACGTCCCTGGGCGAGGCTGGAGGGAATTCCAGAGGCTCCTGGCCTGGCTCTCAATGGGCCTCTGTTGAGAGCTCCACGGCCTGTCCTGCCAGCACAGAGTGACCATGGCTGTGGAATCAGAAAAGCCCGTTCTAGTCTAACTCTGTCATCTTACAGAGGGGAAGCAAAGTACAGGGCACCATGACAACTTGCCTAATGCCTCATAACTGATTAGGAGCAGATTTGGGGTCTCCTGGGGCCCAGGCCCTAGTCTCTTTCCTATAGATACTGCCTGCTCTGTGCCCCTGGCATCCCTGAGGGGGTCCGCCCAGCCAGCCTTTACCTGCTGAGAGACCCTGGAAAGGATCCAGGGGTAAAGGTAAGCAGCTTCCTAGTCGTTCCTCCTTCTTGTGCCCTGAGCCTGATGTCTGCAGTGAGGAAATAAGATCCTACTGGCACATCTCAAAACTTCCTGGGAACAGCGCCCCAGGTTCTGATGCTGCATGTGCTCCATACCCACTGTTCTAAAAATACTCTCAGATAAGATACAAAAATATGAATGTACAACACTCCATAGCTTCCTTTTTGTGGTTTGAGATTTCCACGGTGGGGAAAATTACCACCAACTGCCAAGTTCCTCCCCTTACTCTCCTCCTCCCTCTCCTGCCTACAAATGTCATACAAAATTTTTTTAATGGTACAGCTTTGTGCAAAGGCTGGTAACTCTCCTGCTTGATTTTACTTAGTTTGGTGGGCATTTTAAAACTGAAAATGTGCTTTTACCCGCATTACCTTATTTGATAGTCCCAATAGTCTTAGAGATTGGCACAATCACTCCCTATACAATAGAGGAAATGGAGCCCCAGAGAAGGAAAAGGCCTTATCCAGGGTCAACAATGCCTAGTGGCAGGACAGAGACTGGAGACAGATGCTCTCTTAAGCCCTCGTGGTCCTTTGCAGCATTGGAAATGTAGATGGATTTTGGTTTTCTGTCCCGGAGACCAAGTGTTCAGGAATGGTCTAATCTGGCACTTCCTGTTGAGTGTGTGTGTTTGTGTGTGTGTGTGTGTGTGTGTGTGTGTGTGTGTGTGTGTGAGGGCTTTGAAATAAGACTGCTTTTCATAGACATAATAAGCCTTTTTGAGTCTGAGAAATCCCAAGGGTTTGCTCATTTGTCTGTTACTTTTCCTGTTTTTTTAGGGGTGGGTGTAAGGTAGCTGGAGGTAAGAAAGGAGAATTAATAAACTAACATTTTCCTAGCACTCTGGGAGGATGAGACGAGAGGATTAAAGTTTAAGCCCAGCTTTGGCAATTTAGTAATTTAGTGAGACTCTATCTTAAAAAAGTTAAAAATGGGCTAGGGATGTAGCTTAGTGTGAAGGTTCCAGGCTTAATTCCCAGTACTGCAATAACTAGCTAATCAACTAACTAACTAAACAGCATTTTCTGGCATAAAAGGAAAAAGCAGAGAGAGGAGAAAAAGTTTTGGTTAGTATGATTTATTTGTGTTTCATTTGTTACAGTAGTCATTTGTGAAATAAAGTAACATACAATGTATCTATTAACCTATAATAGCAATATATACCAATTTTAAATGTAAAGTTTACAAAGTAAAAAGATAATTCAATCATTTTAATCTAACACCCTAGAGATAAAACCATTAACTATTAAATCTCCTTTTTAAAAATAATCAAGCATATGTGAATGCACACACATATATACACACTTAGATTCTCCTGCAATTTGCTTTTTAAATTTGATGATAGTTCTACTTTTTCTGTATGTCTGTATAAACAGTAGTCAGGGACTTCAACAATTCTGTGGGCTCTGCTGTTCAACACAGTGCTTGAAACATTAGCCAGAGCAATCAGGCAGGAGAAAGAAATAAAAGAAGTTGAAGTATCATTATTTGCAGATGACATGATCCCCTCTCTACAAGATTTAAAATAGTCTACTAAAAAACTACTGGAAATAATTAAATTCAGCAGTACAACAGAATACAAAATCAACACACAAAAATCATAGTGTTCCTATCCACTAATAATGAACCCACTGAGAAATAAATTAGGAAAACAATACCATTCACAGAAGTATCAAGAAAAATTGAATCCTTAGGAATTAACCTAACCAAAGACATGAAAGAAAATTACATTACTCTGTAAAAGGAGATTGAAGAGGACATCAGAAAATGGAAATATAGTCCATGTTTCTGGAGAGGCAGAACTAATATACTCAAAAAGGCTATACTTCCAAAACTGAATGTGGATTTAACACAATCTCAATCAAAGTACCAAGAGCATTCCTCACAGATATAGAGAAAACAATCCAAAAATTCATATGGGACTAGAAGAGACCCAGAGTAGCAAAAGCAATTCTGGATAACAAGGCAAAGCAGGAGGCATCACAATCCCAGACTTGAAGTTATATTATAAAGCTACAATGATAAAAACAGCATAGTACTGGCATAAAAACAGATATGTGGATCAATGGAACAAAATAGAGGAAACAGAAACAACCCCAGACATATTCAGCTATTCAATCTTTGACAAAGCGGTCAAAAACATATACTAAAGGAAAGATGGCCTCTTCAGTAAATAGTGCTGGGAAAACTAGCTATCCACATGTAGAAGACTGAATCTAGACCCATATATCTCACCATATACTAAACTAAAATCAAAATAGATGAAAGATCTAACGATTAAAATACAAAAAATCTGCTAGAAGATAAAATAGGTAAAACTCTTGAAGACACGGGAGTAATCAAGGACTTTCTGAACAGAACCCCAATGGCACAAGAAATAATACTGAGAATCAACAAATGGGATCATAACAAACTAATAAAGCTTCTGCACAGCCAAGGAAACAGCCAACAGAGTGAAGAGACAACCTACAGAATAGGAAAAAATTTTGCCAGCTGTTTCTTGGACAAAGGATTAACATTTACAATATGTAAAGAACTAAAAACAATTGTCCCCCAATAAAAGACCCAATAAAAAAAATGGGCAACCAAAATGAATAGACTTCTCAGAAGAAGTATAAATGGGCAATAAATACATGGAAAAATGTCCAACATCACTGGCCATTAGAGAAATGCAAATTAAAACAACACTGAGATTCCATCTTATTCCAGAAAGAAAGGCTATCATCAAGAAATCAAATGGTAACAAATGTTGGTGAGGCTGCAGGGAAAAAGAAACTCTTCTACATGGATTGGTGGGGATGTAAACTAACCCAATCACTATGGAGATCAGTATGAGGATTCCTCAAAATACTAAAAATAGACATTGCATTTGACTCAGCTATTTCCCTTCTAGACATCTTCCCGTGCTTGTAGTAGCACAGTTCAGAAGAGCTAAATGTTGGAAACAGCCTAAATGTCCACCAACAGATGAATGGATAAAGAAAATGTGATATCTATACACAATGGAGTACTGCTCTGCCATAAAGTTTAAACTTGAGGCCTTTGTAGGTAAATGGATGCTGCTCAAAACCATAATGCTGTGAAATAAATCAGACGCACAAGTTTAAATAGTGCATGGTTTTTCTTATATGAGAAACCCAAACTATAAATGAAGAACAAAATGAAAGATATATAATAGGAAGTAGGGAGATCTTTTCAAATGGGAAGGGGAACAAGAGATGGAGGGAGGGAAAAGAAAAGGGATTTTTAAAATGAATTGAAAAAATGGAAATAGAGCTTTTACAAATAGGAAGGGGAACAAGAGTTGGTGGGAACAGGGAAGATTGGAAGGGAAGGGGACAAAAAAAGAATTAAGGTGTGTTATATACACTGCAAACTCTCCCAGGATAAATGTAATCATTATATACTGCAAACATGTACTAAAAAAAAAAAAAAAAGCATTCTGTAGGCTTTCTGGAGCCTTCCTAACCTTTGTGTTAACTTTGCTACTCCTTTACTGCTTCCTATAGAGATCTTAGTAAAACCCTTAAAAGGAGGGTGGGTCCTTTTCGTCGATGAGGAAATTGAAGCTTAGTGAGGTAAAGTTCTCCATCACGTCTGTGGCCTCTCTATGCCTATCCTGCCAAGAGTGGATATAAAATCAATGCACAAAAATCAGTAGCGTTCCTATACACTAATAATGAACCCGCTGAGAAAAAAATTAGGAAAACAATACTATTCACAGTAGCATCATGAAAAATGAAATACTCCATGGCCAGTCTTGGAGAAAGGAACTGCAGGCAGTAGGATTAGTGGGGGCAGCTGGAACAGGGTGAAGAGGGCCTAAGATGTTCTGGCTTCTGTGGGGCAAGGTAGACAGGGGTTGGGGTGTGGACAGAACCTAAGAAGCGCACTTGGGCAAAACCAGCAAGAGTCTGTGAGATCCACCCAGCCCGAACTCATCGGACTGTGGAAATGCCAATCTGGCTAATCGTTTTCCTTCCTATTCCATGACCCCAGCCCTTTCGAACTTGGGATGTTGCAGGCACAAAGTTGTGCTGTTCCTTTCCCAGCCCTGCTGGGGACAACTGGCTGCCAGAGACAGTTCCTCTAGGCTGCTGCGTGCAGGACTCTGGTGGGACGCGGACGCTCTTTGCTGCCACCTCCAGGAGTCCTGATGGGGGTGCTGTGATCCCCAGTTAAAAGCACTGCTGAGTCAAGGCTGGAAAGAGGGAGACAGAGAACAAATTTTATGCAGCGCCTGCTGCCAAGAACGTGACAGATGCCTCGTGTAACTTACTCTCTCAATCCTGTGGCGCATGGAGGTTTTCTCTTTTTCTTTTCAGTCCTGGGGACTGAGTCTGGAGCCCTCACACTGAGCTGCATCCCTGACCCTTT